TACCTGGTTTCTCCTAGACAATTACGTAGTAGGCGTTTAACTCAACTAAGTTAACCACAGTGTTTGAATTCTCTTCATAATGTACATTCAATCACATTGTTTACAATACAAATCAATCTAATAGACTTTGTAGGATTTTCTTTCTTCTTACATATGTAAGCTTATGACTCTATAGAGTTGAGGAGTGTATTCTCAGAGTTTTTGTTCTTGCACGAGTGTGAATGTCTCTTTCTAGATGAATTTTTTGTTATTTGTGTGCTTATATTTTTTTATCTTCTTTCCAAAGGGTCTTCTATTTATAGATTTCATGAGAAAAGATCCCTTAGACAACAATTGTCTTCAATCTTTAGATCTTTATAGCCTTTTCGTAGGTAGCAACCATGGGTCGAAGTCAATGTGTCAGAGAAAACATGGTTTTTGTAGTACTTTAACCAAAGTAGGTTGCAGGAAATCTTCAACATGAGTTTTTATGGAAAGAACATTCTATGAATGTCTTATTTATTTTTAACGTCTACTTTGAACTTGTTCATAATGGAGTAAGTGGATACATGCAATAGGCATCTGTATAGAGTAGAGTAGAGATATATGCTAACAAATATGTTCTTTTTCTTATTACTTTAGTTGTTTGAAACGTTGTGCATTAAATGCTTAACATTGTGTGTTCAAAACAATTTTGTAAATCATTTCAGAACTTTTGACAAGATACCAAATTATTGATTCATAAGGATTTCATCGTTGGATGATAATAACATTTGTATCAAGGTATCGTTTAACTTTTAACAAATGTTTACTTAACAGTGGCGTTTAATGATCTTTGTTTAGTATGAGAGCACGTTTAGAAAATTGTTTTTTAGCATAGTCTTTGGAGTGTTGTTTACAACTTTAACATGTTTACCAAAAACATTATGTAACACATGTTGCATTGTTTTGGCAAAATACAGAAGGAGTGCGTTTAGAAAAGTTATAATTTAATGATGCATCTACTGTCATGATAGTGTGTTTACCAAGGATTGACATTTTTCATAGTAATACATCATTTAATAGTGCATCTACTATTAATAAGATCGTTTGGTCCTATCGCGTTTATTAAAACTTTTTCTTTGTTCATTCAGATGTTGTAACGCTTGTTTCATACAATGTCTTTCATTCAACGATATTATTTTTACAGGGATAATACTTTGTCAACTACTCATTTCGTTTATAATTGTTTGTTAAGTTTTAAAACATGAAAGTGTTAAACAGTCTTATATTATAAATAATCTTGTCTTAACAAAACTAAGTATATAATATTTACTATGTCTAACAAAGAATGAATGAAGCTTTTCTATCTTTTTCTCCCAAGCTAAATATGACAATGCACTAATATTCTCACCAAAGAATGGAATGCTACTCTCAATTCTATATGTAGCTCATTCTCAGTATGACTTAAATGTAAACTACTATAAAAACTCATTTTTTTTAAAAACATGCTATGAACTAACAAACTTGATATTTCAAATAAATTTCCTTAAGAGACTTAAAGAGACAAAAAGAGCTCAAGTTCAGGAAAGAGAGGTAAAAGACTATGGATTGCTTAGAAACCAAGTCTTTGATAGCCAAAGTTTACCTTAAGCCCTCTTGTACCAAATTTCTCAAATGAACTTAAATTTGAAATACAAATGGACACACAATAAACTATCATAACTAAGGAAATCAAATAAAACTAATATATGCAGCCTAATGGTAAAGTTAGAAGGAACTTTGGTTTCCTAACACTTACAAACTAAAATGCAATATTAATAAAATTTAAAATTGTTCTTGTTAGGATACAACCCAACAAGGATGAATATTATAAGCCCAAAATGAAAGAAAGCACAAAAAAAAATTACAACTCAAAATAAAATGCACACAAATCACTCTCCTCTTCAAGTGTTTACTCTCTTGTCATTTTACAACCTCAACAAGACCTCAAGCTCCCACCAGGTCTCCACCACCTAGGATGATAGTTCCAAGTGTTGGCTCACAACAAAGAAGAACTTACACCACACAAAAAATGGAACACCACAAAAATCGAATAGAGTCTAATGTAGAAAGCAAGAAAAGGTCTAAATGAACAAATGTTATCTCAAAAGGAGTTTATAATGAAAAAATGGTGAATAACAAATAGACAATCAAGCAAATAAATAGTTAATAAAGAAAGTTTAGCACATGAAAAGAAAGACCTAAAGAAAAGCTCTAGATTATATGAACAAAACAAAAAAAAAAATACTAGAGTAAAAGTGGTGCTTCTTGTCCTTTTCAATTGCAAGGTGAAAAGGTTGTAAAACAACAACACATTCACATAAATACCTCACAAAATCAACACGAGAGTGTACATAAAAAAGTAATGGTAGTAGTACATGAATATGCTTTTACTTTTTGTTTTTTGATTTTGCCTTTTTTTTATACCTTTTTGTCTCTTCTTTTGTTTTGATTTTCCAGTACATAAAACACATTACTACACACCACAAGTCCTTCTTGGAAGTTCATAATACATAAGTAGAAGAAATTCTTACTAGAATCAACATAGAACATAAAACTCATAAATGACACAAAGAAAACTTAACTCTAAGAACTTGTTGATGATCTAACAACAACTATGAAATCAAATATGTAAACTAAAAGAATGCAAAGGTACATATATGATGTAGTTTCAAAAATTCACTTAAACATATATTTTTGTGATTTTTCAAAATTCAACTACGAAGTAAAGACATAAAAAGAATTAGACATGGCTCTAGACAACATGAAATGTTTTGAAAATCAAAATGACTCAGTTTTAACATATGACTGAAATATAAAGATGAACAAAGACTCAAAAACATGAAAAAGCACACAAACACACAAGATATGGAAACTTAGTGTAAAAGCCGAATGGTTCCAAAGAAGAACAAACTAGAACCATGAAAACATCAATATAATGAATGAAAAAACACAAGACAAGCAAGAACAATAATACAACACGAAAAAAAAAATGAAAGGATAGATCAGGACCAAAAATACTTAGCTCTTGAAGAACCAAAACTCTTGATACCAAATGATGGCAACCCTTAAAGCGAGGATGGTCCAAAGCTAGAAAAGAGGCTATGGGGTTTGATCCTTTAGGTGAAGTTTGCGAAGTATGTGGGGGAAAGGGACATGGATGCGGAAGCTATGGTAGGAAAGGAAGAAGGCTTATGGCTTTGGGTGGTGATATGGTGTCATTTATAAAATATATGATCAAAATGATGGTGTCATTTATAAAATATTTATGTGAAAACAAGAAGTTGTGAAACTCGTTTAACTTATTAAAGTTAGTAAAATCCTTTAAGAGTGCTTAAAGAAGAACTGTATGTAACTCAGTTGAAATGAACCAGTATAAAAATGAGTTTTCATCTCTATTATCTCTTGTATAAAAAATTCGTCGGTGTTTAATACTGTCTGCACACGGTATAATCCTTACAAACAACATCTAACACTAATTATGAAAAGTTTTTAAACTCTATTCAACTCCTCCTTTTTAGAATTTGGCTATTATTATTTCAAATGTGTTATCAAGGATCTTAGTGATATGAAATACTTCCTCCTTAGTTTAGAAGTTGGAATATGAAAAAAATACACGGCTTTTAGTTGTCAAGTCTTGCAACAATACTTTCAATTTGTTGATACCATTTATAGAAGGCTCGTTGAAAAGTTTATTTATCTCACATGCTAGACCTAATTAACATCACATATGCTATTATTTTCTTTTTGTGAGTTTTTGAATTCTATAACTACATGGCATCATCAAGCAACATTACAAATTCTCATATAGATAAAAAAAAAGTCCACTTGCATAGTGGTTATTATTTTGTCTCAAATGATCTGAAGCTGAGGTTTCTATGATTCTAACTGGCGATCATGCATTAACACTGGAAGATTTCTTTCAAACTTTTCTTTCTTCTTAGAAAACTCTATTATCTTATGGAAATGCAAAAAATAGTGTATAATAGCTTCTCCAAATTCTGCATAACACTAACCATTCCATTGCAATTCTTATAATTATTTACTATGACAATAAGGTTGTGGTACAAACTGTTTCAAATCTCATTTCTTGAAAGAACTAAGCACGTTGAAATAGATTACTACTCTTTGGAAAATCTGGTACAGTTGTTGAACCATTCTTTTTCTTTTATGCAAGCGTAGAATGCTTGTCATATGCCTTTTAATCCTTCCAACTTGAAAGAGGTGTTGGTCTTTTTTTTTGCTTTGCTTGCATAAATATTTTTATTCTTTTTCCTTTTTTATTTTGGTTTATTTGCTTGAATAAATATTTGTATTCTTTTTCCTGCCTTAACACTGGCACTCTCTTTTACAACAGTGAAATATAAAAGGTATACCAATAGTCTCTTCTTTTACCCCTTTAACATTTAACTTTTTTGTAAAATTAAATTTAATAATAGATAATAACTACATTAAAACATCAAAAATAAAATATAAATTATAAAGCTATTATTGTCGCAGTTTTAAAATTAGATTTTTACGAGATTATACTAGTAATCCAGCCAAGAATTCCCAACATATAAAAAACAGTTCTTAGTAGAGGGCAAATCAGAATTGCAGCCAATATTTCAAAATGAAAGATAAATTAAAAAAAGAAGTTAATCTAGGGTTCTTCAGAACTGATAAGAAATAATAAAAATGAACTTTTCGAACTGTTACAAAAATGTTTTAGAGAAGCGTGTCTTCCAACATTACACTTTTAACATGTTATTGTCCTAAAAAAATTTAAGACCATAATTAATTGATCCCGAGGAAAACTCAAACTAACAGTTACTAATCCAATCAAACGCTAAATGATGTCGTTGAATCTAAGACCAGTTAAGTCACTTAACTGTTTAAGAATTTGAACTCGTCACTTAACCTTCGAAAACCAACCATAGAAATGAAGGGGAAGAATGGTTCGAAGATATTCAGATGGCACGGATGTTGGCAGAGCCCAAGAAGGAAAAATCTCCCGACTCGAATAAAAAAAGACAACATTCCCATTTGAAGAAACCATCCACACATTAGCCACCGTTATCGACACAATCAAGCAAATACCTCAGAGTAGTATGCAAAAAGCTCTTGCAGCTCCAGTGCTTATTTTAGATGCAGAGGAGAAATCCGGCAGCCTAAGATAAATTTTTTTACCATAACAATGAAAAGTAGAGTGTTTATTGGAGTCATGAGAATGATGTCTCTACTTTGTCATGCAGGATGACCACTAAGTTATGTGCATCATCAAGCAGTTTCCAAACATCAAGATGACCAGACATACTATTGCATTCCTTAATGATCTCATCCATGCTGCTGTACTTCTCAATGATCAATTTCCTTCTCTGCAACACCGAAGCTGCTATTGCATAAAGTAATAAATCTTCTGTTGGTGGAGCACGCTGCCTAATTCTGCTCCACGAAGATTTCCCAATACCTGCTCTTATTGCCGCTTGATCTGCCCACATCACTTCCCATAGGCAAAGGGTCTGTTCAAATGTCAATTCCCTTCGAAACATTACCACCACCATTCTATAGACAAAAAAACAATCCTCAGCCTGAAGCTTTTCCAAATGCCTAAAAAGGTGGGCATCCTTAAACTTGATTATTTTTGCAACTAAATCCAGTTGCCTGCGAATACCCACTTCATCAAGCCTAAAATTTTGCCGTGCCTTCTTCATGAATCCAACAAAACACCAGAAAGCCTCATGATCCTCTGATATAACACTAACTATAGGAGATAGCAGGTCACTCATACCTTGGCAGTAGCCAATGTCAGAATCATAGAGAGCATATGCTTCAAGAATAGCAACAAGTCGAGCAGCATGGAAGATTCTGCCAGGCTCTAGGTGACCATAGTCCTTCAAGCCAACAGCCTCAGCACTTCGACGTGCCCTACTTTCTGATACCGAGGCTTGAGATGGGTAACATGACATCCATTCAGCATTAGCACGTACTGCATCAAGTCGGATGATTCGTTGCCAGGTGGAAAAATCTTCATTGGTTGGTGCCTTTGATGGGATTTTTGCTTTTGTGATAGAAGATACTTCCTGGGAAGCTTTGTCTGGATTGTTACGTTCCTTAACATCATCAGAAGGAACTGCCTGAATTACTTCAGGACCTTCAGAGGAGTCTGAATCAGAGAAATCAGTATCCAATGTAGAGGCATTAGCGTTATTCACATCTTCTCCTTCCAACAGGGCACTGGACAGATTGTCAGAACGGTCAACATCAGAGCTTCTATCCTCACTAGAAAGAGATTCCCTAGCACTGGCTGCATCATCAGAACTGGCAGAACCAGAATCTTGAGACAGAAGTTTACCATCTCCCTCAAAGCTGATTTCACCGACTTCATTTAACTTATTTTGCTCATTACTTTGCTTGATGAGTCTCCGACATTGTCTGCGGAGTTTCTCATACTGCTTTCTGTATATAAAGATATGGAATAAAATTAAAATGATGTTAACACCCCTCCCAGGAAGGAAAAAATCCAAACAATATACATTTTAAGTCTAACAGTACATGATGGATTGAGCACAAGCAATAAAATGAATCAAACATTTGGAGATAGAACTTGCATTCCCACCTATTTTGAGTTCTTATAACATCTCTTTCACCCTTGGTGCTGCCTAAGTCATACCTGCATGTTTAAAGTATAATCAGTAGTTGTACAAATTTTATCTGAATAAATTTCAAATATATACATGATGAAAAAGAAAATGATCAAATTCCAGTATTCCTAAAGATAGAAATAACAATGAATCATTATCCGTCCAAATGCACACATTAGGAAGAAAACCAGGCAGAGGTATTATTTTAAGGATGATTACAATTCATCAAGTATGTAAGGAAATAAGTAGTAAAGATCTACTATCATCTAGAAATGAATAGCTTACACTCCAAGCAAGAATGGCCAAACCTCAGCCCTAATACTAGGATCAACACCCTGCATAAAAAATTAATAATGTAATTAATTCTAATAATATGTACATGAAACATAATTTTGTGCAATAAAAAGAATAGGTAAACTCACTCCACTGCGCACTCTTCTCAGGAACTTATTTCCACCATCAAAGAATTTACCATCTTCTGTAAACAAGGATTTCCATTGATGAGATGACAGAACGTGTTTTCTTCTCCTTTGTGACCATGGTGATTTAAGCCGGCCCCTAAAACACGGGGTAATTAATTACTACTTGCAGGTTAGAGAATAGAGGATAAGGAGCCAATTAATCATGAAAGTAACGATAGTTGCAGAAAAATGCACATACGACTGTATCCCAAAAAATAAAATGCACATAGAGACATTCTTCCACAAGTAAACAATAGTACACTAGCATGAAAGACAACTTCTACAAGTAGTTGTGGTTTTTTTATTCCCAGTGAAGAGGTTGAAAAAGCATGCCATGTTTTAGCATGTCACAAACTACAATTCTACACGGAAAACATTCGTGTTGAGTTTTTAGTAAGGAATGAAAACACATAAATGCATATAGTGTTAGATGGATCCAACTTGCACACTATTATCATTCCTCTTTCCACTTGCATATGAAAAAAAATAAAAAAAATAAATTAACTACTCAGGTTTCGCATCAGTTATGTTCTTTCAACACAACTAAGTACAAACCTCAGCCTATAATTCACTAGTCATTCAATTTAGTGTTAACTTGCATTTTCTGTTATGAATATTTTAGTTTATATTATTGAAGGGAGGAGCCTACGTTGATGTGAAGACATAGGAAAAAAAAATGAATGCATAAATTGTTGTAAAATGTAACTTATCACATGAATCCACGAATGCAATCATAGCTTGATCTTGTTGATTGATTTGAAATGGATCAGGGATAAAGGAAAGGAGCTTCAATTTCGAATAACATGTTCTACTGTATGAAAAGGTGACGGAAAAAAAATTAGGGAATGCGGAGAAACAGAGATCTGGCAGGAAATAACAAACACAGAGCAATTGAAGAATCTGAGACGAAACACACCGTTCAGAGCTGTAAGAGAAAGAAATCAAATTGGAGAGAAAGGAAAGGGAGAGAGGAACTCACCGATTGAAGGGAGAACGAGAAGAAGAAGCCGGTGAGGAAGAGGAAACAACGAATAGAACCGAACGCAAAGGGGTCCAAGACGACGACGTTGAAGAAGAGGATGAAGAAGAAGAATTAGAATTAGGAGAAGGTGAAGGAGGAGGAGACGAATTCAAAGATGGATTGTGGCTTCGTCCACGAGGATTCATCTATAATCTATAATAGTTACAAAAATAACAATACTTGCTATCTTTTTAATAAATATAGTTATTTGTACATATACAGATAGAAGCTTTCCCTTCGGCTAAGTGGAACGAAATCGGAGTTAGGGTTTTGGACGCTCTAATTTGATTTTCTAAAATTTTCTGTTTTACCTACTGGCGCCGTAGAAAATCACGGCGACGATGGCGACGCCGGCGAGAGCGGTGAAAACCACCGCCGGAGTAGAGGGCGAGGCCACAGCCGCCATTAACCAGAACTTGCACTTGCCACCGCCACCAACGGAGAGAAAGGTGGTGTCGCTGTTGCTGTTGATGGTGTTGCTGTTCAAGTGGTTGGATGTGAACATGAGGAAGAAAGAGAGAGGGTCGTTTGGGAAATTACGGCAATGCCCTTTCTACGAGACCCTTTCTCTCTTCCACTTCGCCCTCGCGGTGCGGTTTTTTTGGTTTATAAACCCGATCGCCAAAGCCAGGTTCTGTTTGCTTTTGTTTTGTCTCACTTTTTCTTCGTCTCTACAAGAGAAGACATAGGCGAAGGTAAAACGAACTGAGATGGAACACTGTTGGAGAAAAAAATATAATCCGAGAAGAATGCATGTATAATAAAAAATACGGATAGAAATGCTTTATGTGGCCAAAAAACCAAGAACGGTGCGATTCGGAGGACTAAAATGGTATTTCAACAGATACAAATTTACCTCTTAGTAGGACAAAAATTATTTGGTTTATAAAATATCAAGTAAATAATCAGATATGATTATTTTATTATCATTTTTTTATGAACATATATTTTTCGGTTAACTTAACGGGTATGGGTTAGAGATCACAAAAAAAATCCATGAACGTGATAAAATTTGCGATAGGTAATTATTATTTGTGGAACATCAGCTGGCAAGTAATAAATAACGGATATTTTAACATCAGTTTTTAAATGGATATATAAAAAATTAATTTTTATATTTTTTAATTAAATTATATTTTATTAAGTTAAATTTAATTAAAATTAAATTTTAATTTATGTTTAATTTAATTTATTTTATATTATATATATTTTTTGTAATTTTATTTTTAATATTAAATACTAAAGTACTTTTATTATATTTTTGTTTTTAATATCATCAATAAAATTTTTTATTTTTATTTTTTAAGTCAATTCATGTTTATTTTTCATTCATTATTTTTTTTGTAATAGTTAGAACTGTCAAAACAGATACCTCGGATCTATCCGGTCCAACCCACCATGGGTTGGTCACCTAATGAGTTAACCCAACCCGGCTCACTTGTTGACGAGCTGAAAAAATTAATAACCCAGTCCGACTAGTGGGTTAAATGAGTTGGCTCACTCGCTCCTTTAATTATAATTTTTTTAAAATAAAAAAAATTACAATTTTTTTAATTTAAATCTAAATAAACGTCACACTAAAATGATATTAAACTCTAAAGATAATTCAAAATACAAAAAAAGTATCATACAATGCAAGCGTAATTAAAAAACATGTACAAAAAGCAAACAAATAAATTTTTAATATTGATAATTTTTGTATCACTTGTCCATTTATAATATTAGAGTCTTGAATAGATGAATCTATAATATTTTTCTCTCTTGAAAAAATCTTCTTCCTTATCGCCATCTACAAAATAAAAAAAATGCTAACTAATAATCTTGAAATACAAAATAATAAATAATTAAATTAAATTAGGTGGGTTAGTGAGCCAACCCGGCTCACCACAGGTTCAACCTGGTGAGCCGGGTTGAAAACTAGCCCGCATAAAAAATTACATTTTTTTCAAACCTAACCTAGCTCAAATTTGTGGTGAGTCGGGTTAACCCGCAGGTTACAACCCATTTTGACAGCACTAATAGTCTAAAAAATAACATTTTAAAAGTGATAGTAGTTTAAAAATAGTGAGACTTGATTACTTTAATGTTAAAAGGTTTTAATATAAATAATTTTGTTATGAACTAAGTTTTATTATTTTAAAACACACAATTTCTTTAGAAACCACTTTTGTCGGGTTATCTAATGTCTCTCTAAGAGTTCTTCATCATACTCATCTTATTGAAGAATCGAGACCGTAAGATTGATCCTTATGACGAATTCTTCAATTTGGACTATTTCTTGTTCATGTAAGTTGAGTTTCATCCCTTTTTATGTTATCAGTTGCATATAAGTCGTATTACACTTGCATGCGTCCTTTTAGTCATCTATATGGGTTCCTTTTGATTAGTGATCATTATGGTATATTGTTTTTATATGTAGATAGAGCATGCAAGTTGGGAGGACTTTTGTTGGTTAGGGTCCTATGGGCTTGAAGGGATTTGAGATTCTTTAGAGCAAATTCATCTGTTTCTCAAGTAAGGAAAGCTAATTGCATTGTTTTTAAATTATAAATATTTTGAGATTTATAATTTTATAATTGTATAGTGAATTGACTGAATAATTGATCTATGTAATGAGTGTGATATGTTGAAATTTGAAAATGTTGTTTGATTTGTGTTTTAGATGAAAATGTTGTGTTAGTGAAGATTGCGTAATATGAAATTTGGATGTTTCAGCATATGGGATTCAAATGTTTGATTCTTGGATTTGGGCTAGCTTGAACTTGGTTTTGTGTGATTAAGGGAGCTTAAATATGAGCAATTGGTCAAGTGGTATGAGCTTCAACGTTTAAAACTATTTTGAACTCATGCAATGAGAAAGTAGTATTAGTTTGATAAATTGAATAGGTATAAATTCCTTCACAAGAATAAAATACAATTGTTGATATCTAGTGTAGTGTTGACTAGGGCCAAGGTGACGTTGAGAATCCTATTTTGCGAATGGGATAATGTGGAGCGGTGTCAGGGTGATGTTGAGCACCCAATTCTGTGAATGAGTTGTCGTTGAGCAGCGCCAAGGTGTCGTTAAGTGCCATCTGTGTACTGCAGGTCTATAGCATTTTAACTCTAGGGCGTGCTAAGCGCTAAAAAGTGTCGTTAAGCACAACTTGTTGCTAGAAGAATGGCGTTAAGCATCACCTTTTGCAATAAGTATTGCGCTTGGTGCCACCTTTAAGCGTTAGTGTGTATGTTTGAAATTTTCTTCTCCTATGGTTGTTTGAGATAGAATGCAATGTACCTTATGCATGTCTAAGAGTATTATGGTGTTTGTTCATGTATGATATTGTAATGAAGATGAGCATTGTATGTGTTGGCATAATTCTATGGATCTCTTGGGAAGATTCTATGATGGTGTTTCTTTAGTGTATGCATTGAAATGGTAGTCTAGACATTGAAGGTTATCATGTCGCTCTAATAAGCATTCAAACCATGTAATGTAGAATGGGGTATGTGGTGAGAGGTGCAAAAGATCCTAGTCTAGGAGTTTTACCTTGGCCATAGATATTAGTAGACTAACCTTGTGTGTGGTATTCGTAATAGCTTTACAAAAGTAGTAAAGACCACCACAAGTGAAAGACCTCTCGAGATTTCACATCAATGCTTTATCCGGATAATTGAGTCTAGAATAGAAGTTTTACCTTGGTCAAAGATGTTAAAGAACTAACCTTGTGTGTGGTATTCACAATGACTTTACAAAGCAGTAAAGATCACCACAAGTGAAAGACCTCTCGAGATTTCACATCAATAATTTATCCAGATAATTGAGTATAGAATGAATCTATATGTTTGATATGGTTGTTTTATGAATGAGTAATATATGATGATTATTTATATGTTTGTTTATGAAAACTCTTTTTGCATACTAACTTATCCTATTTTGTGTTTTGTGGTTGTTGTGGTTGTTGTGTTGTCTTCTTTTTGTGATGATCACCCTATTGATGTGAACAAATAAGGGATATGTGTTGAAGCATCTTTGGTGGAAGACAACAATGTTGCATAGTATTCTTCCTTATCGTTTAATAGTTTTCCTTATGTGTTGTAGATATATTTTATTATTGTAATTATTTTTCTAGATAAATGTATCGTATATGTTAAGGATTTTTTTTTGGTTTATCAATTTTACAAAGTTTTATTTCATCAGTTGTAAATTGCTAAAATTGAGATGTTATACTCATTTATTTATATTGAAACATGGGAATTTCATTTAGTTGATGTCAAAATAATATTAATAAAAATTATAATTCAAGTATTAAATTATGTAATAATAGATCGCCATATAAAAGAATAATGTATCTTGGAGTATTAAATTATCGCAGATAAATGTATTATAAGGAATAGATGAGCTAAAAACACAATTATAATTTAAAAAATGAAAAAAGTTGAAGCCCAAAAATAGAAATATTCGTCCATGCAAATAAATTGTAGTATAATAACTAATGTTATTTACTTTTAGTTTAAAACTCGTGTGTATATTAAAAAAATTTAGAAATTGAAAAAATAATCAATAAATATTTTTAATAATAAAAATGATAGAAAATATAGGAAAAGGTAAGAAATAAGCTGTCTAAAAATATAAAAGCTAAAGGTTTAAATCCTCGGATCGCCCGCATATTTGTTGGGGAATCTCAAGTGGGTCCTCGTCTTTTCAACTGTCTCAATTCAGTCCATATATCTGTAAAATTGAGCCAATTGGGTTTATATATTTGAAATATTGAGTCAATTAAGCCCTATCCGTTATATTTTCACAGACGCCGTCAAAGTCTGCTGACATGGTGCACATATAATATGTTGACGTATAAGTGTTATATTACATGGAATTTGTTATTTAAATGATCAGTGTTTAACGTGGCACAAGACAAAACCTTCTGCTCTTACACCACCACTTGCTCGGCCACTTGCGTCGTCCTCTCCTTCATCGTCTCCTGGTAACACTCAATCAGGTATTGTGAATTGATTGAACATTTTTCTATTAAAGGATAAAAATTGATAAAAATTGGAAATTGTTTGATTTTTTTTTTTGGGATTTGGGGCTTAGCCGAATCTTGGAGTGGAAGGGGAAAACAATGTAGGAGAGATGAGATTTGTTGACGAGGTGGTGGTGGTGTCCGATGATGTAGGTGAAGAAGCGTTCAGGTCGCGATTGTTGATGGATGCGTTGGAAGAGGAGAAGGGCGTTGTTGGCGGTGGTGGAAGCGGATGTCGGGGGCTTTGACTATGTGCATGTTGTTGGACCAGAGCAGGAACGACCTGAGGGTCCTTGGTGAGACACTTAATTTGGTCTTCTGCTTCGCAGTGGGGATCGCTGGTTTAGGCCCAGATTTGGTCTTCAAGGCTGATAAAGGTTGTGCTGGAGACAATGACGGTGGTTCCTCCATCGTAGATTCCTCCATGGTGTCGACCCAATGGCCGATGCACCGCGAGTAGAGAGAGAAAGAGTCCTAGTCCAAGATGCCGACGTTTTCGGTGTCAGTGGCAGCGTTAGGGTGGGAGCTGCAAAAGGACGATCTTGAAGGCGCACAGGGAGAGCTTGAGGAAGCAATGAAGATGGGTGAGTGGGGTTGCGGAAGAGGGTGTTAGTGAAGATGGGTGAGTGAGTGAGAGAGAGAGAGAGAGGGGGTGTCAGTGATGCCCTTTTGCTTGATCCATATTTTTTCAAGATAAAAGTTTAGTTATCAATTGAATTTTGAATTTTG